AAGTCCCCTAAAAGGATTGCCCATCCTCCTGGACAGTTTCTTCAGAGAGCGTGGTGCTTGATTTTGGGGACTGGCCTCAAAAGCAACGTGAAATGAACAAGCTTCTTGTGGGCACATTGCGAATCCCAGTTTGATGAACCTCTTCATTTTAACCCGCAAACAATTTGCTTAAGTGGTTTATAAATATAGGTACCATGGGACCATGTTGCAGGAGTCAGAGTGGCTGAGGCAACCCTAACTAGATTTTCACTGCTTAGATCAAGCTTCCTTCACCTTCCCACACTGACATAGATAGCGAGGGTAGAGGGAGACCACAAAGGGGTATTAAGTGGTGTGTGTACCAGCGACCTTCAATTGAAGCTGGGCAAATGCACAGGGGGTGCATCCAATTTCTCTCTCATGACTACCCACCGGGAAATTCTGCCCTGTTTTACATCAGATGGTAAACTAATTAAGATGGTGTGCAGCACTTACTAGGCAGAGGCTTATGCTCTCTGGTAGTTCCTCACTTCTTAAATAACCCAAAGTTCCCCGATGAAGAATAATTTCTCAGGAAATCCGCAGGAGGAGACTCCTGATCATGCAGCGTGTTCACCGAATCGCTCACTGAGAAAGCTGCCATGAAATGGGATTGGAGAAGATGAAGTCTGAACTGCTGCTGCTGAAACTGGGGCATTCCCTGTTTTCTTTCCACAGGAGCTGCTTTGTGAGCAGACCCAGCCATGCCTCTTTGATCCAGTAGCTGCTCATTAGAAGTCATTAGGGCACTGGCAACGCGGGGAGAGATCTAAGTTTTGAGCAAGTATGAATATGCTTGGCAGTCTGCAGTAGGGAGTAAGGAAAATTCAGAGCTAAGTGCCAGTGAGGGAGTAACAAAGCCCCTTGCAGCTTACAAGTGAATGTGGGCAGGAAGATCAGAAGACTCAGAAGAGGTGCATGGCATTGTAGGGATGCATGGGCACAGCAGCACGCAATTAGGCTGCAACAGCACTGCAAAGTGAGTTTTTTCAGAGGTAGATAGCAGGTCAAAGGCATGCCCAGTGGTTAAGTAGAGCTTATCTGCCTGTGCTAGACTTGTTGCAGTCCAGGGATTTTTCAAGATGCATGGCCAAATGGCGTAGTCATGAACATAGGTCTGGGCATGCCCCTAACCATTAGCAGTCAGTCTGCATTGCCTGCTTGGACCACAAATTTTATAACTGTTAAAGATAAAAGTTACCAGTTATCATGGTGGGACCTGAGGGATATTGTATTAAACGTGAATTTCGCAGAAAAATCATTCATAAACAGATATAGATGAAAGATTTCTGGATGGATGTTCTATTTGCTGAGAAAACACTGACAAAGGTCAAGAAAACAAAAACTTTGAAAGTAAAGTCTGAGTCCTGTGGCTTTGGCAGTCCTTCTGAGGACAGGGAACCTGGCTTACAGTCCTGGCAATTGGACATGCGGCCGTTGTCTCACGGTGTGATCCTGAGAAAGCTGATCTGGGAGGAAAGGCCAACCTTACCCTCCTTCCCATTCCCTCTGCAGACTGGTGACCTCAGCCGCAGGACACGTGGCTGCATCTGCCCTCAGTCCGCGTGACCAGATGTTATCTTCCCAACCCACGGCCCAGCCACCCAGACAACGTCTGTATGGATACTAATTAGCAAGCCCATAGCGAGATGAGGAAATTAAGGCGGCCAAACCTACCTAGCACATGGCCATACAGCCAAATCTCAAGGCCTGCCAGACAGATTTGTGTGAACACACGTTAACTCATGTATCACCACATGGCTATAAAGCTCTAGCTCTGGTTTTGTGTGCTGATACAGAACATACAAGCCATAAACTAGCTAATTAACCTTGGCAGGTAAGAGAGCTGTCATCAAAAGATTTCAGAGCCCTTTTTAAAGGCAGGAAATAACCCAGCACACAAGGGGAGATACTTAGGCACAGAGCAGGGATGGGACTTGCCTGGCATTAGTCAGGAGGCTCAGAACAACCACCTCCTGAACTCACCACGCTGCTTATGCCCCTGGGCAGAAAGGCCTAAAGGGCTGTAGGGAGCAGAGCTGGTCATTGCCTCTTTCATGCCAAAAAGTAGCCTCCACCCCCACCCCCTTCTGTGGTGGAAGGGCATTGTGGTACTGACAGCATCACCTTTCAGCTGGGCAACAGCAACAGAGAGACCAAGAATTTATACTCACTTAAAATCCTTGGCTGCCTTTTGTGTGGCTGGAGTTAAATCCCAGTTCCAGTGAGCAATTTTATTCTGTTGAACAAAATTTCTACATCTTTTCTTTTAATTCTTTGAATGTTTTTTGCACTTTCCTGTCTTTAAGTGCCACATAACATCGCTATGCATAAATAGATGCTAATTATTATTATTGCTGCTTCACAGATGAAGAGTGTGAAGGAAAGGGCAATACAAACACTAAACAGACTCGTTTCAGAATTGGTTTTTGGTCACAAATATCAGTTCTGTTTTCTGCCCTCTGTGGTGACACATATTTACACAGTCTTGAGAGCCACTTGTCATGTAGTCAGCACGTTCTGCACACTATAAGGCTGTACCTTATAGCTCTATATGGTAGGGTCTGGAGCTTTCTAACGTGATGGGGTTTGCTTTGTTTTAATGGGAACTACAGCAAGAAAAAAAAAAGCACTAAGGCTGTGAAGTTAAGCAAGCATTCAGATGTTGGGAAATGAGAATAGAAACTTTCATTGCTTTCAGTTCAAGCAGGTTCTGTCTCAACAGATTTCAAGCAGTCTTTCCTCCAAGAGGCCAGAAGTACCCCAAGATAAGCTGTGCTACTTCTCACCCAGCTCCACAATACAGTGATTGCCAAATTACTATGTTTACCAGAAAGGATGGAGACATCTGTTACAAGGTGGCCACATGTATTTCTCATGTTACTGATGGCATTCAACTGAGGCACGTTGAATGGCTAGGACTTTTGCTTAGTGTCCTAACACCGGCTATTTCTTTAAGAATTTCAGCTCCCATTTTCTGTATCCTGATGCTAGAGACCATCCAGGGCCTTCTGCTCCTGGGCCTGAAGTGCCCCTCCCCTGGGTTTACATTTCTAATACTTTAGAGAGGGCGATAAACACAGGCATATGTGAAGAGTAATAGCAACAAAAAATCCTGCTTGCCTATGAAGGGTTTATTTAAACTGACCTAAATCCTGAGTAAATCTGCTTCTGTGGGAGCAGAAGTATCAGAACTAGCCATTTAGGCTTTTGTTTTATGATCTGGACAGGTTATGGGGCACTGAATGAGCTCACAGAATCCACCAAGAAAGCTCTTGCAGGAAAATATATCCCTAAATTCCACTCCTGTAAAGATGTTCACTGAAGGTGTATTGAAAGCAAAATTTAAAATATCCTAGTAGGTTTTTATTAAGATCTTTTATTTGACATGTGTTTGGAAGGTTGGACAAGGAAGGGGCGGTGAGGGGTTCACTGATATGTAGCAGCAGAATCAAGGAAGAATGGCTTTGAGCTTATGGCTTGGACGTGAGATAGAAATTTTACATATCAAAGTACGTAATAAGCAATGATCTTATTTTACTGCTGCAGGTAAAGGGGTCTTTTTTAGCTTTTGCTAATAACCACACAGCTTTCTCCTGGGTTTCCTTCATAATTTTTAAAGTTCCCATTTTCTGTTGTAGTAATTTGATTCTTTGACTCCAGAACAGTAGTGTGACTAACATTGATTTGATCACTGTACTGCTTGAAACTTCATTCTCTGTTTGTACCAATACAATTCCTTCCTGTTTATTTTTATTTGCTAACATTTACAGAAAGGACTCGGTCTTTCTATAATTAGCAAGTATGAAACCGATAGAGAACTGGTTTTCCTAAGAGCCTGAGCAGGTCCCTTGTAAATGAGTTGCTGGTTCTTGGCTTCACTAGGGATTTTCTTACAAAATCATACAGTATTTTTTCTACAGAATCTCATCTCACTTGGGATCCATGATGGGCCTGTTTGGGGATGAATGGACACTTGGGGCAAAAGAGGTTATTGGCAGAGGACTCTTGCCCCATATGATGAAGAAAGGTGAGAGTTGCGTAATGAATGAGGGCAGGGACTCCAGAAAGAGAAATAAAAGCTTCACTGTTCAAACAGTTGAACTATTGTGAAGAACAATATTCCCTCCTCACATTTGCCGTAAAGTACTTATGGAAAGCACAGAAACAGTTTTTATGGAAGGTCACTTCCCTTTTGTGCTTTTCATGTCTTTTTCTGGCACCGGGTCAAGGTCCTGAATTCAGATTTACACAAGTGCTGAATACTCACACCTTAATTGAAACACACTTTAAACATCTCATCTGGAGGGTGAGGAGGAAGGCAGCTTCCCCCCAGGATAAGAAGATCTTCGGGAATCGAAAATCAAATATCCCAAATTAGCAGATAGTTGGGATAAATTTGTGCTTCTCTGTGCTTCAATTCTCTCTGAAGTCAAACAACAGCTCTCGTATAATTCACAGTGTTTTTGTGAACATGAACAAGCACCAAAGATTTCTATGAGAAAACCAATACTACTTTTTAATGGGTCTTGGATGGTGCACATTAAATAAGGAAAAGGGACACCCACTTCCCGAATACTGCAAATTTTTGTTTGCAGAACACTGATAAGCCATTTTTATTCCTTTGCAGATCATGTAGGGTTATTTGTGCTTGTTATTAAAATGGTGCACATTTGCATGCTAGCCAGGTCTGCCCTTCCAATTGCTGCTCAGCACCTATTCAGTGAACCAAAATGCAGGCACCTCTAATTTCCCACACAGCTTAGACCAAATGTGATAAACCTGCTGCATCTCCACCTCCTGATCCCATCCCTTTCAACAGCAAAGGGCTTCCAAAAATATTAAGGGCGGAGACAGGAGATTGTCTATGGGCTTTGGCCTGGCAGGCTGTGCTGACACCAGTTCCCTTTCTGTAAGCACTACTACAGATCTGAAGCAGTAAAAAATACAAAAAAAAGAAAAAAAAAGACAGCTGTGCCCACCTCGGCCAGAGCAGCAGAGAAGTGATTACAGTTCTTGTGCATCAGGTGGTATGCGTTTCCTTTGTACTCCTTGCCCAGCTCTTCCATAATCTTATCCACATCCTCTTCTGTGAAGTCTGTAGTGCCCAAGGCAATGGATTCTCTAGTTAAAAACAAAACACACCACAGGAAACATGGAAAGATACAGTGAAGAGAGTGATGCATACCCAGGGAAAAGGAAATGATCAGACATTGGCAAGAAGGACAAGCTTAAAACATGGACAGGCATGTCTGGGGTTATCGCTAGGCTATCACTAACAAAACGGCACAGTAATATCCCCCGCTTATCCACAGAGCAGGTTAGAGCACAGGCAACAGCCCCGAGAGCTTCCTGCTCACCACCAGGGAAGTCTCAGCTCTGGGGGTCTGCTCCCACTCTGCCCATCACCCCTCAATGGAAACTTCCAGTAGGACAGGGGAGATGATTTTTCTCATGATGGAGGGGGTTTCCATGGGGTGGACCAGGAAGGAGCAGACCAGGAACTTTATGCAGAAACCTATTGCTTCTCCCAAGATTCACTCAATAGCACTCGTGCTTCTAAAAGTCTCCACAACCCTCAATATAAACTGGCAGTCTGGGAAGGTCAAGCCCCACGTGCCACGGGCAGTGCCTCGACCCACAGCCTGAGCACCCTGAACAACACGTTAGTGCAGCATCCTCTCAGACCCCTCTAGCCGCTGGCCTGTCCCTTGTGACAGACTAGCAATAAATACACGAGATGACTTCTGGTACTCTGTGCAGTATCCATAAATAGGTGATACTCATAAAAAGACTAGGGTTTGTTTTTTCCCCTGTGCACTGGCTCTGTGTAACACACAGTTACTCCTGTTCTTGCTGACAGGTGAAACTGGGAGCACGGAAAACAAAGAAAATGGGAAAAAAGAACCACATTCATTTGTAAGTATATTTTTAAACCCTGCCAAACCCTGCCAAACACAGTTCAGCACTGTTCCGTTTGGTGTACGTGCTCTTGTATCCACCTCCAAAATCCCTGCAGGGCTGCCTTTGAAGCAGGATCATGTAAAGGATGCAGTGAGGGCGCTTGTCAGGAGAGGGAAAGGGGGACCCGGAGGAGAGGACCTCCCTGCTCCCCCTATACCAACAGCTACCAGGGGAAGCGGGAAAGAGGTAGAAAAAGGCCCTTACTTGAATTTAAAGGTCTCGCCAAGTTCTACGGCACTGCCAGGTGTGATCTCGAAAATCCCACTGAAAGGGTAGGGATGCCCTCCATAGGCAAACTCTGACAAGGAAAGAAACAGACTGTGAGTAATTGAACGAACGCAATGTCAGGAAAAAGTCTATGGCAGCTGTCTGTACAGCTCAGCATCAGCACCAGGGGCTGGGCTGTGGCCAACATCGGTTTCAGCCAGACTCTGAAAGCCATTTTCCCTGTCGGGTTACCTATCAGCCTGAGGACACCCTCACAGCCTCCCTCCATGCTAACACGACTGCTTTCCCACAGCGCCAGGAGAACTCTCCGAGTCTGTCTCTGTCCCTGTCCAGGTGGCTTCCTCTCAGTGGAAAGTTCTGCTGTGGAGGCATCTAGAAACACCACAAGAGACTGTCGGTGGTGGTACTGAGCTGGAAGAAGTCTCTTCTAGAGTAGGGAGAAATCAAGTCGTCTTCTTCCAGAGGGATTTACAGGCAGTGACTAGGAATTCTTTGCAGAAAGCCAAGCTGATTGTGCTCTGCTGCCTCAGCACACGAGTCGAGCCAGGAGGTCCCTCCATGTCATACAGGCCATCTTGCATGGCCTGTGAAACACAGCCAGTAGCCCTCACGGTGTCATGCATGCCATCTCGCACGGCCCGTGAAAACTTCTGTGCTTGACATGGCACCGCAGGGGTTTTATCTACTGCATGGCACTGGCTAAAAATACCATAAGTGAGATATCCCAAATCATTCCCATTTAACGCTGAAGGAGGAAACGGAAAGTCTGTGATGCTTGTCTGTCCTTCACTGCACTACAGCTGTTTTCCCAGATCCCTTGACTGCTCCTTTTACAATGGGTGCTCTAATCAGCTTCAACCCCATCCAGACCATTTCAAAAGTCTTACAAGACATTTTCTTTTCCTTGTAACTCTGCTGTTTCAAAAGAACAGTTTCCAAGGTCTGGAAATCCAGATCCCAAGATTTCTAGGCCATAGACATTCGTAAACAATTACTGCAAAATGGATTTACTCCGACACAGAATTAGCACAAACATGTATATGCAGCTCGCAAGACAACCACTGATCTGCTTCTCTCTTCCCCCTCCCCCATTTCTCCCCTTCTCTCTCCCCCTCCTCCACTGCAGAATGACTTTCCAACATTGCCTGGTCCCTCCTATCTGCCATCCTGCTACACACTGGCACAAGCCATAGAGGCTGCAGTTACATGCTGAAAATAAGAAGGGCTACATGGTTCATGACAGAACTGCACGAGTTCCTGCTGGACTCCACAACAGACTCTAAAAAGAGAACTGGCTGAGTTTTTCACTCCTCAAAACATTCCTTGCCAAAAGCTGTAAGTTTGGGGTGCTTTTCCATATCAGACTAGCCATACAGTTGTTCTCATGTTCTGCAGGTAGTGAAAAGGAAATATTTCATACCTCTGCCGTAGATCTCGATGCCAGAGTGGAAGACACCAATCCCCAAGGTGGAAGTGTATTCATTTATCCAGTACTACAGTAAAAGAAAAGCCACATTTGGAAGCATTAGTGGAAAAGAAACACACTATCTTGGTGTAGGATATATCCCCCATCTCCCATCCTCAGGGCATCTTCTCTTAAGGACAGGAGTGATTTTGAAATTATCTTGAGACAAACAGATTGAGACTCCTTACAGACCAACAGAAGTGGGCACTGTGTTTATACAGCTGACTGGGATTAGGTCTCCAAAAAATGCTCATCTAGTCCTTTCCACATACGGCATTTCCCTGTATTCCCTGATATAACTGGACCAGAACCTGCATAAATCCAGCTGCTACAGGATGTGTGATTATTTATCTATCTTCTCACTTAAATAGCTGTCACTGAGCCAGTTTTACCAATTCACTTGTCTTATCTGATCTTCAAAATCTTGAGTTAAAGAATCCCCAAATATTTTCTGCATACCATTTTACATCACCTCCCAACATCTACTTTTTATTAAGTTGTTTTTAGGCAATGAGATCTTGGAGACAAAGATCCATTCCTCCTGTAGGTCAGAGGAGCACCATTTAGTAGTTATCTATGTACAGTGGTAACTGCTTTATAGAAAAAGAAGCTCCGAGCATAGTAGTGAACATTTTGCTTGGAGGCACCATATACTATCAAGCATCATTTCCAGAAGGGACAAGGGCTTGCTGCTCCAAAATTAGGTCCAAGGTGACCACAACTTCACCCAAGCCAAAGACAAATTTTCAAGAGGAGCTGTTAAGTGACTTCATTGCTCTGGAGGCTAGCACTTCCCCGGTACATTTGGAGCAGAGGAATACTGCAGTCCGGTGCGTGCAAGCAACACTCCTCCACCAAGCACTGCTCACTGTTTCCACCATACCATGAAGGACAGTGCAGACACCCAAACAAGTCCCAGCTAAGCTAATTTTGGAGTGGGAAGCCGCACAGCCATGCCAGGGCAGTGCTGCATTGGAGATAATTAGCCCTGCTCAGCACCAGTATTTATTCGGTTAGCTGCAGAGCTGTGCTACTACAGAAATGATGTTTTCAGGCAATGAGTGGAATCTGCCCGTGCCTGGTATATTTACAGTTCACCTATTGTGCAGTGAAGATGCATCTGTAGTAACTTAGAGCAACTGAATTCTTATTTTAATCAAGCACTGCAAGAAAAGTGAGTGTTGTTCACTTGACCCCGTACAATGACATGACAGGTTCATTCAGCTAAAATTCTCTTTTGGTTCTGGTAGCTGCTTCTGATGGCGCCGGAATAAGCTGCACCTTCCCTGGTGTCTGGTGTCACTGAGCTGCCACGGTATGAGTGAGAACCCCTCTGCTGTCAGGTAACCAGAGGTCTGGCATACTCCATCTACTTTCCTCACACTGCTTGCTTATGTATCTTTGATGACTGCAGCAGCTCTGTAAATCACCGAGAAATGCTGTCTGTGAGACCACTGCTACTGTGGAAAACCACAGTAGCTTTGATAATATGAAAAGTGCAGTCCCAAGCCTGACTTAATGTACGGCCAGTCTTAATACCTTAAACCATGTCCCCCAAAAGGCTTGCCTCTGGCAGTACAGCAGTTCCCTTTCCCTCCAGAAAATGCTGTAATGTGTCGTGTTCTTTGTGAGTTTTGGTATTACAAATGATGTATTTCTGCAGGAAGGCAGCGAACCACCTGACCCTAGCTGGTCCCCTGCCCGCTGCTCTCTTCAGACCTTGTATAACCTCCACTTACCTCTTCACTTGAATTATGCAAACTCTTGTTTTTAGGACATATCAGAGCATTGGACTGGAGCTAGGTCAGGTAGCTCTCAACCTCTGCCAGTGCATTAGCAGTGAACCCTCTGTTGAACATCATGCCTGGTATTTAGGGACATGATGTGCCCTTGCCTTCTGCTGCCTTCTCCACAGATCTCTGTTGCCCTGTTCTCTGCAAGGGGAAGAAGACACAAAGGTGGAGGCTGCATACGGGAGCCCATGTGACACCAGCCACATCCGATGAGGAGACCAAAGCCGTGGACGCATAGCCCTCAGTTCAGTTCTTTGATCTCCCTAAGCTCATGGGTTAACTCCTTCGACTCTCAGATAGTCTCAGTAAGCTTCAGAGAGACACTGGTTTCTACAGAGGATAACAACTCCCAGAGGATATGGTAAGTAGGTTGTCTTCTTCCCTCAGGCTGAGCTATTGTCTCACAGCAACAATACAAGCACAACATGCCCAGGTCACGCCAGCTGCTTTGCTCAGAGGAGTAACTAATACAAAGAGAAGGGAGACTTTTTAAATTAGAAATGCTCTTGCCAGTTATCAAAGTCAGGGCTATCTGCGGAGGCTGGTCTGCATCAGGCTTTGTATTTCAAACAAGAAAGTTAAACTGAAAGCCACTTGCAGCTATAGCTTTTTCTTCTTCCACGTTAAAGTTTATGTTGGATCTGAACAAGAAATAAGCAAACAAGCAGGAAAAACCAAACCTCTCCTTGATTACCATGTTAGAATAATGCACAGAGACCTGTTCACCTCATATGTGCATAGCACTGTCAGAACACAAGTCCTCCCTGTCCCCCCTCTGCCTGCACCGCTCTTGTCCCCAGCACAGAGCCACAGCCCCCGAAACCCACCCTGCCCAACGAGGAGCCAAGAGCCAGGCTGCAGGACAGCTCTGGAAACACAAATGATGAGGAGGCCCCACCGGAGATAAAGGAGAGACGAGCAAAAGTATTTCTCTGGCTGATACCAGGTGTTACGACCATCACATGGACATTTCTGTATTTAAATGGTGTATTTTTCACTATGAATCCCTTTAGTGAACTATTACGGACTGAACTGCAACAATCTCAGCCATACCTGAATTTGAACTGAACAGAAGCTGCACTGGTTTAGTACTTTCTTTTAAATAACTTCAGTAACACAAGGGCATTATTGAAGTGGGATCTGATTTGCATCTTGGTTCACTGCAAATAAAAATTTTCAGTATTATTAGCAAGACCAAAATGCAAAGCAGCTCTGAATCATGGCCGCTACTGTCCTCATCTCACCCCTGTCTCCAGAACTGCAGAATCTGCCTCCGGTGTGCAACTGAACACGCAGCGAACGCCTCACGGCACTTTGGCACAGCCCACGGCTTGTCTCGGGAAGAAGCTACACTAAAGTGAACATGTCAGTCACTTGCTGAGCTGGAGGAGAGAATCCAAGCCAGATATGAAGCCAGGTTTGTACACACATGAACGAGCTGGCCTCGTTTTCCAAGGGGTTTGCAATTCTGAGCATAAGAACAGCAGCAACAGTCAGCAAGTACTCATCTCTGGAGTAAATTGGCTATTGCTTAGATTAAAAACAAAAATCTGCAGCCTGTTCTGAGTCAGGTGGAAGAGGCAGGGAATCGAATACAGCAGTATCTTAACGGGAGCTGTGATTCATGCCTGCATCACATACTGCCTGCAAAATCGTGCCATAAACCCTACACAAAGGGATTTGGAGCATTCTGTCTCATTTCCATCTTCAACAGAGACAGAAAACAGCTCAGAAGCGAAGCAAGGCTGGGAGGAAAGCTAACCAGACTGCAACTGCTTCACAAAAGCAGAAGATAGCCCAGGACTCAAAATTCAAACCCAGAGAGAACTTCTTTGCATTTACAGTTTGTAGTGTATCGGTTAAGAGCTTTTAATGCAGGTCCCTGACGAAGTGGAATTTGAAATTTTCCAGTTTTATTCAAGCCTTCCCTGATTTCCTGGTTCGTTTGGCTCAGAGATTAAAGTGTCTGGTGAGATAGTTTAGGTTCTGGGAGATACTCTGAGTCAGTTGTTGTGTTACTCACTTCATTTATCCATCTTTCACACAGAGGTAGAAGTGAAAGTCTCACCGGGACAGTGAACCATGCCCTAACTTTCCAGAAAGGAAAGAAACTAAAAAGCTTCATTATATTGATATGCTTCTGGTAGGTCTAGGATGGAGGAGCAGATGGTATGATACTAGCAGATTATATCATCCTGGGAACTCCTACCAGAAACAGGGGTTTCCAGACAGGAGAGGCCCATCCATGTAACCACTAACTTCTACCATCAATTAATATCATACTATCACATTGAAGTTTTTATCACTAACTTTCTCTTTACCTCCCTACTTCAGACCATTATTTTCCATGGTGTATCACCAAAACCTTTCCTGCATAACTGTGCTAAGCAGCTTAACTAACGAGCTCCCTAGAGGCTGGAGACAAGACCACCACCATCTCATATATTACTTTCTCTGAGCAGCCAACACACTAAGCAATATTCCATTTATCACCCTAGTACAGACTGGATATTCCACTCCACCACATCCATCCGCTGCTGAACAGACCCTGACCCATCCTGTCTTATGATCTGTATGAACACATAGAAAAGAAATCCACTGGGAGTTGCTAAACAAACCTGGTTTCAGCAAATAGTTGCAAACTGAGTATTCAAAGGAAGTGTTGTAGATCCTTGCTGTACTCTTCTACTCTTCACTAGGTATCACACACAATCATCGTCTGAGCCAGAACTACCAGGCTAGATTGGGGTTTTGTTCTGACCTAGCCTGATTGCTCTGATGTCTGTGCATGACCACATACACTACTTTGAAAAAGACACCTTTACCAAGGATGGGTGCAGATGATGAACCAGTAACTAACTTAACCCTATCTCCTCTCAAAGTACCATCTGCATGTAATTCAGTAGGATTACTTCCTTTTCCCTGGCAAAGCTTTGTTTTTAGGAGCAAGAGGATAACAGTAAAGAGGGACCAGAGCTACAGATGTATTCTGACATTGCTAGAGAGGAAGGACCATGTTAAGGGACCGAAGGAAATGGCCAAATCACCTCACCCTCTGCAAGTCTTCAGATCATGGAGCCCTCCTGGCAACACAGGTCCAATAACAGACTGTCTGCCCTACCACCTAGGCTTGATTTTAACCCTTTCCTCTTTGAGAGCCAGGTCACACACCGTAACACCAAGCTCTCCTTTGTAGAGCTGATGTCTCCTCTCTGTAGGATGGGGGAGCTTGCTC